GGAAACAATCGGAATGCAGTTTCTAACCTCCTACTTCCGCTACACGTGGAGAGGGGGACGGAACGGAAAGATGATGCGTCCACAGATGACATATGATTGACGCGACGGAACGTGGAACTGTAAACCTCATTGTCCAATTTGGGTATGAAGTAGATATACGAGGGACGCTCGGTAAACCTCCACCCAAATTACCAAAATGCCGAATTAATTAGTTCTGGAAAAGTGTGTAGTTCATATGAGTGTACGAATGTACGACAGCGATACACACTGCTGCTCACGTATATTATATATATTTACATGTAATAGAGGCAGGGGACCCTTAAGACCTTGAAGATGCGAGCTAGAGGGAAATAAGGTTCATCATAGGCAAAATACCTAATCAAGAAATTCGTACACTGTAGCCGCAAGCCTTTTTATCACGCCACATAATAATTATGGGGTAAGCAAATTCAGAAATATAGTATGGTGTTCCGATATTACAAAGGCTTTCAGTTTCATCGTAATCGGTGAATTTTCCTTTTCATTCTACAACATTAACGCAAATATTTCAAAGGGTTTGATTTCAGCTCCAACACCTCTTGCCCCTAATAATGTTATAATTGGGAAATCCCTGATAAAATTATGAATGGGAAAGTGTGGATGTTTGTTAATCAGTCTCGCCAAAATAGCTGAACGGACCTGGATAAAATTTAGTACAGATATGTATTATAGCCTGGAACCAACAGGACTTAGGTTGCCTGTTCCTAAAAACTAATTCTTAAACAACTATTTCACAGACTACAACCCAAGCGAGTACGATTTGATATGAGGTGTCTGACGGAGATGCGCTCAGTCAATCCTCCATCCAAAATTAGTAGTTGCTTTTGTATGATTTTTTCTAGAATTTTTGAAAGCACGGGTGACAACCTGATAGGCCTAAAATGTGTAAGCTCAGTAAGTTTTGAGATTTAAGCGACTGGTATGATTAGCGCCAACTTCCACTGTTTAGGACAGTACAAATATCCTTTTCTAAACAAAAATTTATTATGTGAGTGATATGAAAGGAAGTTATAGGATGACGTGATTTTATTATAGATTGTCAGTTCCCTCAGAGATCATTTTAAGGACATATTTGAGGTCATCGACGAATTCCCTTTTTTTACCTGAAAAGTAAGTTTAAAAAAAGGCGTGATTGTATGGACTGTAAATACCGACGATGATAAAGCCATGCCTATAATCTTTCTGGGGTATTAATTAGTAAGACTGAATGACTCTTCATATTGTGGTTCAGATGTGATGCTGACGGACTGGACAAACATTCACATTTATACATTGTCGCATTAAAAGGTTGAACAAAAAATACCTGTCGTAAAAGGTTTGGCACATAACACTTATCGGATTTTCTTTTAATTAAGACATTTATTTAAACACAAACTAGTTATCATAAATTACAACTCAATATTTAAACAAACTATACTATCAAATGGAGTCTAGTGGAGTGGCCTGTTCTGTTCTACTAGACGCAACTTTTCTGGAATGTCTCTTATGAGGTCCTGGACGGAAGTCAGACCAATTTCTCTCAGTTTCTCGTAAACTTGCCGCCCTAATTGATCATCATCTATGTTGCACTCCCCAGCCTCCATGATAAACCTTCCTAGACAGTAAATCCCAAAATTCCTTTATTGGGCGAGCCTGTGCCAAGTTGGAGAATTATCATTTTTGGGAACAAAAGGTATTCATATTTTGTGTTTTCGAAGCCAGTTTTTGATATCTCTTGAGTAATAGCATGATGTTAGGTCTGGCCAAAACATGATGTTCGTGGACAAACTGAAGCAATTTTGAAAGGTCGGTATCAATATAGCTCTGACTATTCAAAGCTTCAAAACTCACCCTTCCCACGAAAGGTTGTGATATAACCCTGTTAGAAATTGGGCACCCCTCATGGATTTTATCCGCAAATTTCGCTTTATGTTTGTATCTAATATTACCAGGGCATTCCTCTACGTTGACCCTATAGAATCCGTCGTTCCCTTCATTTCAGAACTCCTCAAAGTGAACTACTTTTCGTCATTTAAAATAATGATTTTTCCATTGGCAAAGTGTACCCGCCTCAGCTCGTATTTGGGGCTCTTAGGTCTCTTTCGATATTTAAGACCATTCAATTTCATTTCCAACGACATCGTATTCTAAAGCCATGTAGAGCTATGTAACAATACCGCGAACCGAACCACGTGACGAACCTAATTAGCGTTGCAGCTCTCCGTTCGGCCCGATCCAGGTTCTGTCGGTTTTTCAGCGCAACATCAAACGAATGGCTCGCGACGAAGATGCACATGTTTGGACAGACATACCGGTGCGGCGAGCACGCGCTCATCTCTGTAAATGGATAGACCCCGTGAAGAAAAGATGGAATGGTCGGAGGAGAAAACTCTTTTGCTTATAGGGCATTACAGAGCAGCGGAATTGTTGTGGGATGCAAAACATACCGTGCATTACAATAAATTTAAAAACAAATGATGCCTGGGAACAGATAGCGTTCACAATGGGAACAACAGCTGGCTTATGTAAACGTAAAATGGCAATTCCGCTATCAAATTGTTCCAACCGTGTGCTGATCTATTGGTATATAACTGCGTTTGCCACTATCGTCTCGGACGTCGTCATCACTTGTTTTTGGATAATTCATAGTACATATAAATATAGGCATCCATTTTAGTTAGTATTCGTCTTTCACTGAACGACAAACATCAAAACTGGATCGTCATTTTGTTACGGGATATGAATGCACGACGTGGTACGGTTTGTGGTGATGCTCGCTGCAATGTTGTTCGTCAAAATGCCCGTGCTGCGGTTCGTCGCGAGGGTCGGCTCGCGGTGTTGTTACATTTCTGTACATGGCTTTAGAAGATCTGTATTGACGAGCCAGTCTCCTTGTTGACATTCCAACCTTATTTTTTGACTTCTTACCAATCTCTCTGACCTCTGTGCAGTAAATGCACGAGGTCTTCCACTTTTTGGGGGATTAAAACATGGTTTTCCCTACTCGCACTCCGCTGTTGATCGATAAATGGTTCTACGTGAAATTTTTTCATTCTGGAATATTCGACGGATTTCAGCTTTGGATACCCGACCGACCAACCAACTTGTAGATACTTTTTCTTATCTCTATAAATAAATTATAAATCTTAAATCTTAAAGCAAAAACTTCAAAATAAATAAATGTCAACTGACAGTAAAGTAAGTAAACAAACATTTGTTTCCAAAGGCAACTTGATATTATTTTGTGCTTGCTAAAGTTAAAGCCGATGAATTTTATGCCAAAACTTTTAGGGCATACGATATTGCATTTTTTGAATGTTGTATTCCTTTCTCCGAAAATAGTCTCCTTCATACTAATTCAAGACGTATGACCTATTTAGACTACTTTCCTGCGAGCTGAGCCGTGCGTTTAGGCTAATGGGACATTCACAATGCCAGACTGATCTATGCGGAGGTTAGCATTGCCAGAAGATTCTGAGAATCAACACAAACCTTTCGCCATTCGTTTCAGCCTATTGTAAGTTAGAATACTTAGATTACTGAGGATACGGCCGAGCCTCAATGACAGCAGCTGTTGGGAGAAAGCTGGGTTAACTAGAGCTGAAAACTCCCTTTGACCATCAGTTCTTCGCTTTATGTAAGCAAGATCCACTTATCATGCGACACTGTTATCCAGAGCCTACACGCCGGATGGATAAAGAAAATCACAGATTTTACTGGGTGGCCCACGATAAATTGAAGGCCTAGTATTGCTCTGAAAGTAGGCGTTAGGCAATTAGGAATATTTAAAGTTTTAGTAAAACTGATGGCATCAATTTGGCTAAAGCGTGTTCAAAATGTATATGTATATCATTCAATTTCTTGATTTTATGCAAAAGTCTAGGTACATTCCATGTACGTTGTTCTACACCTAAGTTTATTAGTTTGTGAAATGTATTCAATTTAGTGCAAAAAGTCACAAATGCAAGCTGATAAATAATCATCAATGCTTCCTGTATTTGTGTCTATGCTGTACGAGTTGTAACGGTGTTCCGATAGAACAGGTCAAATTAAATTAAGTTCTAAAAAACTCAAAAATCAATTTTCTCAAGTAGAAACTTCGAATAATATAACTTGGAAGAGTTTTATCAGGTTGTCTGCTTCTCAAATTAATAGTTTCCAAGATATTCATAAAGACCCGTTTTTCTATTGCAATAATGAAGCACGCGGATTTTAACTATCAGTTAATCTGAGATGGTCATGTCGAGCCGTACTGTGATCTACTAAGTATATCTAAACATTCTCCTTCCGTTTGTCCGACAACAGACAGCCAACCATATACAGCTGTACCAAGTCTTTTGGCAACTCATCAGCATGGTCTAGGCTTAGTCTTGTAGTGCGCGAGTGATCTTCGTAGCCTTAATAATGTCTGGACTGACCGTAGCCTTAAGGCCGATGAAAGTGGTTCACCTTGAACCGAAAGTGACGCGGCAGTCGGCCGCCAACCGTCGAATGTATCACATCTGTTTGAGTTTGATCTGTTAGATTTTAGATTATTTTTGTTTGTAAAGTTTGAGTAAAGTGAGTCCCCGAAACCGTGTGTTACTACTGCCCACTTCCCACGTATATTGGAGTCATGAACTTCATTTTGGCGCACAACGTGAGGGTTCGGGTTGTAGTGTTTTGGGGAATTCGCCAGTGAAGGATAAATCATTTTGAGTTTTGCAAAGCGTGGTCGGCCATTGAGAACGAAATCGAAAGTGTCTGATCGCTGCTGCCATCTAACGACTAGGAAAAGCAGTGGAAAACAAATGGCCGATGTTTGATCAGCTGATGTATGACAGCCGCTTTGAACTAAACAAACGACAAGTTGTTTTGGACATAGGAGTTTTGAAATAAGCGGAGAGTTGGGCACTGTTAGCAGAGAGATCCAGGTGCTTAGGAGGTGAGCTGGAAGTTTGGGAGAAGCAGAGTTGGAGCGGAAAGAAGAAGAAAAAGTTATGGTTCAGGTATCATAGAGAAAAAAAAACTATAGTGCAAGGTACTGTATTTTATTTGTGTATTGGGTAGAGTTAGGTATTTAGATTGAAATCGCTTTTCAAATGAATGATAAAATGGCACCGAAGAAACCAAAAGCCAATGTAAATGAGGAGAACAGTTTGTTAGGTAGTTTGGATGAAAGTGAGTCACCACAGTGTAGTGAGTTAAAAAATATGGTGAATAACTTAGCAGATGATTTCAAAAGGTTACAGACGTCTTTATCTGAGGGTAGTAGGCAATATGTTGGTCTGCTGAGGGACCTGGGGGGTCACACTTTGACATTTGTGCCTAATGGACCAGTGCATCCAATGAACTTTTTAAGAAAAATTATGCATATCTTGGATGAGGCTGGGGTGCCTGAAACCGCAAGGTTAAAACTAGTAACAGGGTGTTTGAGGGGCTCGGCTGCTGAGTGGGCGGAAATCAAGGAGGATTCTTTTGACTCATTTCAGAGTTTCATTGATGCTTTCATGGATAGGTACTGGGGGTTTAAAGAACAACGTGCATTGTACTATGAAATAAAGTATGGTAAATTTCGATCAGGTAGCAGGGCAGATTATGTTCTCCAGATGGCAAAACTAGCCAGTTTTTTGACAGACAAGATTTCTGAGAGTGAGTTAGTGAGGTTTTTGTCACAGCATTTTACACAAGAGCCAGAGATTCATAGGGCGGTTTTAATTCGAAATATGAAAACCATAGAGGAACTTGAAGGATTTCTAAGAAATTTAGATGAGGTTGATGCTACTAGTCGTGATAGAAGAAATGAAGGGAGAGGGGGGTACAATCCACCAAATCATAATGGTAATCGAAATTTTAGGCAAGATGCTCAGGGAGAAAATAACAGAAATGATCAGGATAGGGCTATCAGATTTATAGATGTGGGAGAGGATTTATTGATTGAAATTGAGGATGGTGGAGATGGTGATGAAGGACGCCAGATGATTTCCTCAACTGTGAAAGGTAATGTTTATGGTGAAGAAGTAAACATATTACTAGACTCAGGTAGTCAATGTTGTGCGATATCTGATGAATTTTACAAGAAAATAAATTCTGATGAAAATGGGATATTGGTATTGCCGGTGGTAAATTTCTCAGTTACGGGGGCAGTCGGTAAAAAGCAACAGCGAATTAAGCAACAGGTTTTAGTGAAAATCGAAATTGGGGGGTGTGTGTTTGAAATCCCTTGCATAGTGGTGCCACATTTGAACCGTTCGGTTATTTTAGGAAGCGATTGGTTTTTAAAGGAACATGTCAAACTTGATTATGATGATTTAGTTTTAGCTGTTGATGAAAAAAGTTTAAAGGTGAGAATTCAGTTGGAAAGAAGGGATGAGGCTCAGTTATCGATTAATTTTCTACAAGAAGGACAAATGAAGGATAGGAATAGACATCGTTATACAGATTTCGAGATAAAAGAAGTGGTTACTAAGGCGGAATCGTTTGATGAAAGGGAAAAAGCGGAACTATCGAAACTAGTTAAGGATTTTGAGTGTCTCATAGGGTAGAAGCTCAGCGTCAGTTGTTAGAAATGTTAGAGTTAGACATAATTTCTTTACAGCAAACTGAATATGTATCGCCTCTCACCACAGTCATAAAAAAAGATAACTCAGTACGCATATGCTTAGATGCCAGATATATCAACACTCGCATGGTAAAAGATCATGTTTTACCACCAAACCCAGATGTTTTACTGACCAAATTTGATGGTAGCTGTTTCCTTTCAACTTTGGATTTGACTGCGTCATATTGGCAGGTGCCAGTGCGAAAAGATGATAGGAAATATTTGGGTTTCCTGTTTGACAATCAAACATATGTTTTTAATGTACTACCATTTGGCCTTTCAACCAGTGTTGCCAGTTTTATAAGGGGTTTAAAGTTAGTTTTGGGTGCAGAAGTAGAGAATTTCACCTTAGTTTATGTCGATGACATTTTTGTCTTTTCAAGGACATCTGAAGAGCATTTACGTCATTTGGGCATCATTTTTGAGAAAATTAAGGCTGCCAATATGACCATTAAATTGCGGAAAACTAAAATTTCAAAGGGGCTACATGGCACTTATAATGCCATTTTACCTGAAAAACCGGGACAGTTGCTCACGGTGGATTTAATGGGTCCTCTGCCACTGTCGCGAGGGGGCGCTACACAGCTATTTGTGGTGGTAGATAATTTTACCAAGTTTACGAAACTTTATGCTCTTCGTAGAGCTACGGCGCGAAGTATTGTTAACAAGCTGGAGCGATATTTTTCTGAGATCCTAACTCCAGAAGCGGTGTTATCAGACAATGGAACTCAATTCCATTCAGCGGTCTATATAAAATGTTTGGCGGAAAAGGGTGTAAAATCCATTTACACCTCCGTTTATTTCCCATCGGATAATCCCACAGAGCGCATGAATAGAGGGATTGGCCGTCTGCTTAGGTGTTTCTGTTCTACCAAACATACCGAATGGGCTTGTGTTCTACCACGTATTGAACACTGCCTAAATAATATTGTCCACGAAAGTACCGGACAAGTTCCTGCGATGTTGATGTTTGGAAAATCAGAGCCTAATGATATTTTTAAACTGATTGATTATCCTCCTGGTAATCCCCCCACTCCGGATTGGACCTCATCACTCCAATTAGCTTCCAACAATTTACGGTCCAAGGCTAGAAAACGCAAGGAGATGTTTGAAAACAAGAATAAAGCTATCACTTTTACTGTCGGGGATTCCGTTTTAGTGAAGACTCACCCAATTTCCTCCGCTGCCAATGCGGAAATCCGAAAGCTATTTGTGAGGTTTGATGGGCCATATGTGGTGTCGCGCATAGTTGGACCCAATTCTTATATGTTAAAGAATATAGAAGGTGTCAATGTAGGCCCTCAGAACATTAGAAACTTAAAATTGTATAAGCGGTGCCCTACCCCTGACCAATTGTAAATTAGGTTTAGCTTAATTAGGTTAGTGTTTGGTATTATATCTTCTGGAATGTAATCCCTCAGATATAATAGGGGGGTGATGTAGTGCGCGAGTGATCTTCGTAGCCTTAATAATGTCTGGACTGACCGTAGCCTTAAGGCCGATGAAAGTGGTTCACCTTGAACCGAAAGTGACGCGGCAGTCGGCCGCCAACCGTCGAATGTATCACATCTGTTTGAGTTTGATCTGTTAGATTATTTTTGTTTGTAAAGTTTGAGTAAAGTGAGTCCCCGAAACCGTGTGGTACTACTGCCCACTTCCCACGTATATTGGAGTCCTGCACTTCAGTCTCAAGAACGAAAATATAGCAACTGTTCTCACACCTCGAATATAAAAATGAAGCCATGCTTTAGTTCAGTGTCCCACCTTAGACCAAGCTAATGAGTTGAGATGGACAAAAGCACTGTATTTAGTTGTTCAGTGACGAGTAGACCACATCTACTATACCGCCATACCCGTATGTGGATTATATTTAGAGTTTTTTGTAGAATTCAGAAACTAAATAAAATACAGGGTGCAACACTTGAAAAAATTAGCAAACTAGTATCAACTTCTCGGTGTTAGCAGGAGCACCATTTTGGAAATTTTTCAGCCAAATTACTCCCATCAATTTTACCAAAACTCCAGATGTTCGTAATTGCCTAACTTTTACTTTCCGAGTAATCGGTCGCTGCATTTACTCGAGCGAGCTGCGGAAAGACCTTGTGAAGAGCGAAGGTCGACCATACTACTATTTCCATGTTTTTGGTAATTATAGTCTGACCAAACGTTCTAGTTACTTATGCAGGAGGTAAAAGCACTCACGAATTACTGCTTCCCTGAACCGAGTGGTAATCAATCTACCCTAGAGCAATCCACTGCTCCTTGATGATTAAGATTGCTATCTGTATCACAACAGAACATTAGCATCTAATACGTACAAATAAGTGTTACATAATGTACAGCACTTTGTGCTAGTTAAAAATAAATGATGATCATTTATTCATTTTCCCTCCATATGAAACGATAATAGGTAGTCTGTTATTCACCAGAGACCTATATAAAGTCCATGGGCTTCCGCAGAGGGGTGAGGAGCTATAACATAAAAAAGATAACGTTGGAGAAAAAATATTGTAGTAATCAAAGGTAATCGAATGTAATCAGCAATCTTTAAGCTATAAAAAATAATCTTTAGGCATAAATGCAAAATTGTAAGAATAAAAACATAGAAGCAAACCTAGAAAAAATCAATGTGCAAATAATAGTTCTAATTTTCTCGGTTGGCGAGCAAACCTATCAAAGCTATTTTACAGACTAATGGATTTTGGACAATTCTATGTACGCCCATCATGCGACGTCCAGAGGTCTGTCTTCCTTCACTGTTGATCGCACCCACGTTTTGACAAGAAAAGATCTTTTTACGGCACTGCGAGATCGCTATGTTTTCGTGGTGAAAGAACAAATATGACACAGAAAGAAAGCCTGCCTACTCAGAACAATTCGACGAATGACATATGCCGCCATGTTTCTTACAATGACAAACGGCGGTGCTCTCATGGTTACCTACAGTCTCACCACATCTGTCATTCATTGTCATCTTTATTTGGTTGTTTTGAATGGTTTTCCTAATAGCAAAAATTAATTTTGCATTAGGAAAAACAATTCAAACACCTCACGTACATTTGTGATTGGGTTCGTTCGAGAGTGATAAATAAAACAATATAATTAGGAAAATAACTTTATTCTGGTAGATAACGAAATGTGGTGCATTTGCAATATAGTGCAATGAAGAATCAGAAACCCCCATGGGAGGTTTCTGAATAATAATTCGAATATACGATCATAAGGAAACCACAAAAAACCCATGATACCACACTCAACAAAAATTCAATAACAAATATATTGCGAAATCTGTATGTAAAGGGAACAAGATTTCGTTAATCAAACATAACATTATACTTCTGAATAAACATTAATTTGCAAAATTTTACATTTATTTTACATGAGTAAGGCTTGTATGTATATGGTACAGGCCATATATAGTAATTTAATAACTCAACATAAAATTCTAAAAAATAGAATAAAACACAATATGGTAAAAATGTCCTGGTCAGGTATGTCACAGCCGGGTTTGTGATGGGTCATCAATGGAGGCACATGAAATAATTAAAAAACCAGCAGCAAATATTCGAAAATGATTTACCTGGTGGCATTCAACTTTTTCATTTTCCTTGCCCTTTGCCCATCAGATGTTCCAAGAGGTCTTTTCAAAGAAATTTTATGTTTAATATACTAGAAGATTGTCAGTCTGATGCATTTGTTAATGATATTTTTGAGGTCATCATGAAAATTGCAAGGCTGAAAATTTTCAAGCAATTGTGTCTGACCTGTTTTGAAGGAGGCTTGATCATTAGGCAAATGAGCAAAAAACCATACAGTTTTACATGGATAACATCTAGTAGATGACTTAGTGTGTCATTCGTGTATGTCAGCCTCTGCTTGTCATGTTCCTTCAAATGAATATACAACTGTAAAGGGGAACAGTGCTTCTCGACATGTAGGGCATTGTGGGATGTTAACATCACTTTGTGTTGCGGTGAATTTGATACATTTTAGATTCCCTTTCTGTTAATTGACATTTACTTACTTCTAATTGTGTAAGGCATGAACTCGAAGTGTCTGACAGAAATGTATATTTATCTTGATAATGAGTCTGTACCACAAAATCTGGCTTAGAATACCAGTGATCGTGTTTAATTGTACTTACATCTGTCAAGCTTTTGGTACTTCTTTTGGCAGGCAATTTACATAGCTGAAGTTAAAGAAGAATCACAAATGCTTGCTGAGAAACCAACACAGGATTCCTTCAATGAAACTGCAACATCAGAATGACAAGTGGGTTGACTTAGAATTTGACCATCAACATCTTTTGGAACTGCAAGACAGTTCAAACAACAATAGAGATCCTGAAGGGACACATGATCAGACAGTACGAACTGGTAGTTACCTTTGACTGGGATTTTTTGGGAATCGATGAAATTTCTTGGATGGAGGATATGAATGACTTATGTTACATTTAATATGTATTTATTTTGGCAATAAGGATATAGGCACTGTCGTATCTATTTCTTGCTTGTTTTTGCCATAGTATTATCAAAAAGATATAAGTGAAACAAAATAAATGCCCTAAGCAACTTCACAATATTATCAGAATCAATGTCATGTAGGTACTCACCTGTATTTTTTTAACCCACTACAATCTTGAAACATGGCTGACAGAAACTGGAACTGAAAATATTGAAAATCATTTCTTGAAACACACAATTTATAAAAAAATAATGTAGGCACAGGGGAACCGAGTGGAGTGAGAAAATTTTACTCAGGTTTTTTTTTCAAGGTGGACATAAACATGCTTAATTAAGGGTTTGATGACACACTCTAAATTCCAATAAATATCAAAAGTAAAACTGCTATATTTCATTATCATATCTTACCTATATTAATTATTTCGGAGCAGCATTGTTCCAAACCATCCCACATGTCCGCACATTTTTAGCGGTAAAGGAAAAATGGCAGCTTGACAGCGGTGACGTTGAAGAAAGACGTATGAAAGACAAGTGACACTATCAATATTGACGGTGTTGCCGGCTGTTTTTTCACCGCAAAAAACGTTGCCAGATTTCCTGTGTTGCGCCTTGTCAGGCCTCAGTTGACCCCACCTGATGCGAACCAGGATACAGTTCCAATAAACAGCTTGGTGCTTTCACGCTCGCAGCCGTTGATTCTGGTAATAGATGGCACTTTGTGCTGTCTTATTTCGATATACCTTATACTCTAGATATAGGATGGTTGCTAAGCTTTCGTTCGTTGCCCTACCTAAGACGAAGCCTCCGCCAAGCCGAAGATTGCCAAACAGCACAAGACAGCTGCTCATGGCTGGCCGTTTGTGGAGGCATGAACGAAAGATTCGTTACTAGTTTGTTCAATGGCGAGTAGACCGTATCTACTATAGCACCAGAAGCGGCATCTAGCGGCCACAGTGGTGACCCGGCACAATACGGGCACGGATTCAGTTTCAGCAGACAGCTTGCTGATTTTAATCTCGCAGTGGTCGATTCTGGTAATAGACGGCACCTTGTGTTGTCTTATTTCGATAAGAAGTAAAACGTATTCTTTACATAATTTTTGTATCATTTTTATATACAAAAATTTCTTCTTCGTGAAATTAAAGAGCAGGCGGCTTCTCCCCATTGCCCCTTTCACGGACGCCCATGCTGTAGCACGTGGATTACTCGAATATTAATAGTATTGTAATAACCGTAGTTAAGAAACGAGTTACACTTCTTTTGGAATTGATAATCTCTAATAGATGAGCTTGTCTTTTTTCCTAGTAATTTAATGAATGAGTATTCCGATAATAATAACGCCTTACACCTCCAACTGCGCAGGATAAAAGGAACCGCCATTCGAAAATAAAAAATACTTGTTTTATTTTTAGCAACATAGAAAGCTCAGAAAAAAATGTATTCTCATTGCATGACAGTTAGAGCACTTCTCTTTAAAATAATAACTGATGCGTATCCTTTCGCTGTAGCACGTGGACTACTGGAATACTCATATTAATATATAAAGGGTGGGCCATCAGTTGTTTTTTAAGTTGGTATTATTTTGACAGTTGGTAACACTTCCATGCTCAACATATGGACAGATATATTGTGTCAAACTTCCGCTGTGAAAATATTGATAAAGTATTTACAAAGTGATTGCTGTGTTGCAGAAACTTTGCGAAAATTGAGAAGACTATTTGATCGGAATGAAGGTCCGTTCGCGACTGGTATACGAAAATTCGTGAAGAAGGTTCGTGAAACTGGCCTGCTTGTGGATGACAGAAGGTATGAGCGTGTTCGACCCGTACATAAAGCCGAACACATTGCCATTTCCATCTGGGAGGTTACGTTAAGAAGCAGAACTGCAGGATTTGGGGGTTCTGAAAATCCAGATGTCAGAAAAACCAATGCACACTAACAGAGTAACTGTCTGGTGTGGCTGTTGGAATCGTGCGAGTATTGGTCCCTACTTTTTTCAAGATGAAGTTGGTAACAGCGTAACGGTAAACGGGGAACGCTATAGAGACATGCTGAAGAGTTTTTTGTGGCCACTATTAGACGACATGCGCTTGCACAATTTCTGATTCCAGCAGGATGGCACACCGTGCCTCACCAGCCGTGAAACAATCGATCTTTTACACACTAAGTTCGGTCATCGCGTTATCAGCCGTTTTGGAGACGTTCGTTGGCCAGCCCGCAGCTGTCATTTGACGCCCATGAATTAATTCCTATGGGGTACTGTTAAGGACCGCTGTTACACTAACGATCCTAAAACAATTGATATTCTTAAGGAAAATATCCGTCGAGCTATTGATGAAATAGACCCACAAACTATAGAAAATGTGCTTCAAAATTGGGTTGAGAGGATGGACTACTGCCAGGCCAGCCGCGGCAGCCTTTAACTGAAATTGTTTTCCATAAATAATCGGAAGGTGTATTATGTCGAATAAAGTATCGAGTGTTACATATTATTGAAGAGTGAAGTTTTTCATACCAATTTAAAAAAGATGCCAACGGATGGCCTACCCTTTAGTATCGTAATGTTCCGTAGTGACACTTTTAGAATGAATATTGACTGATAGCTGCACTCGCTTTTATAGTAATTCGACGAATGAGAGAGACGGTGATAACGGCCACAGTGCTTGTATAGGGGCGTGCTCTTCCACTTCGAACAGCACAAGATAAAGGAAATCGGCATTCGAAAATAAAAATTACATTCTCTCCTTTTATTTTTGTTCCACAGCTGAGGAGAAAAATGATTCTCATTGGATGAAGGTTCTTTTCAAAATAATAACATGCGTACCGTTTTAAGAATGTTTAGATAATGCAAGCTGTGTTCAAATTCTTGGCAGATTGTGAGAAACATGAAAGATAAAAAATATTTAATCCATCTGTCTGAACGAGTAATGCGGTTTCTGCAATGAATTTGAGAGCGTACTATTCTAATTTTGTTGTTGTTCTACAATCTTAACACATTGGGAATAAAGGATCGGCACCCGTGTTACGCAACTTAAAAAGTGGCATTATCTCGGTTTTTCTGACACTATCTGTGATTTTTATGACACGAAGGATTTTCGAAAATATCTCAACTTGGAGCTGTCGTTCATTTGAGGTTTACTTGTGATAGCTGTGAGTGATGCCTAAACGTCATGCCCCTTGGCTACATGGTTTAGATATTATGTGATATTAAACCTCAAAGATATTTGAGACCTAAGCTGTAGTTGGAAGGAAGCACGACATTGATGATGATAATTCTGTTGGTTTTTTTGTCTCAAATACACTTACCCAAGTTTAATGCAGATCTGTAAATTATTTGCGCTTCAACTTTTCTCATTTATCCTGGATATTAAATATACTGATTTGCCGAATTTCAAAAACGCGAAAGATCAAAACAGAAAATTCCTCCTAGGCGAAATATGTTACAACTAACACAGCAAGAATTCTTGCAAACCATATTCTGTGATTTGAGTAAGGCATTTATTTGACTGTGTATCACCTACTGTCTTAATCAGAAAGCTCAGAATGTATAACTTCGGAACAGTTTCTTGCAGCCTAATCAATTCACATTTAACAAATAGAAAACAGTAAAAATCGGAATTAAAACGCCAGATGAAAAGCATATTGAACACGGTCTCAGTTCTTGGGCCGATTTCTAATATACAGTAATGGACAAAAGTATATAGACAAATATGAATATTCACCTAAATACCTTTAGAAAATGAATTCATACTTGGTTGCTCCATAAACAGATGCATTATTAGTAGAAAAACTAAATTTCTTGTTTTTACATTATCTGCAATGGACACAATACAAGTCTGAATATAAGCACTTTTTTATGAGGGACAAAAATATGTAGACAAATCCTTTTCAACATTAGTTTAGTACAGTTTCGTGTCAGAAGCGGATTAGTTTGTGTTCATCAAGTAATGTGAAATAAGTTGAATGATTTTAAGACCATGCCGCGTGGTCCAGAAATTTCTTTCGATGTGAAAACTAAGATCATTCAGTTATACAAAGATCGTCAAAGTCAAGTCAAATTGCCAAAAATTTGAAGCTGAATCGTAAAGCAGTTAGGGCAATATTGAACAAATACAAACAAAAAGGTATCTTGGAAGCCTCTAAGAGAAGTGTTCGGCCTATAAAACTAAATGCTAGATCAGTTAGAATAATAAAAGTGATTTCGTCCAAAGATCCATTTGAAACCCCAAGACGAATAAAAGCCGAAATCGAGACAGTAGGAATTGTCAGTGTTTCTACGAAATCTATAAGTAGAACTGTAAGGACCGATTACAATTTGCACGGTTGCATCTTGATTGGAGCATCTGTGACTGGAAGGGGGTATGTTTCAGTTAGTTTGGATCAGATGGTGTTCACGTTAGACGTCCTAGTGGAGAAAGATTGAACTCCAAGTACACTTTGCCCACTGGCAAACATGGAGGCGGGTCTGTTATGGTCTGGGGGTGCTTTTCGGGGTTTGGGATGGGACCTTTACATAGAATAGATGGCACTAAGGATAAGTTTGTATACACAGACATACTAAAGCATGTCATGTTACCCTAAATGGAAGACAATACGCTCTTAAGATCAATCTTCCAGCAAGATAATGACCCGAAGCACATTTCAAATCTCGCAAAGAAATTCTTTCTAGATGAAAAAATACCAGTTCTCAAATGGCCTTCACAGTCTCCCGATATAAACCCCATTGAAAATCTATGGGAATACTTATATAAGCAAATACAAGATAATAATTATTCAAACAAGGATGAACTGTTTGCCGCTTTAGAGCAAAAGTGGAGACAGATTGATTAATCTTATATCAAAAAACTTGTACAATCTATGCCGAGACGATGCCAGGCGGTGATTGATAATAATGGTTATGCTACAAAATATTAAATATACAGATACAGAAATGCTTATCAACGAAAGTATTTGAAAAGTAAGAAAATCGGCAAGTTTTGTATGGTAATTATAACATGACCTATTCAGAAAGGACAAAAGATAACCCACATATACTCTAATGACCTTCTAAACACGGCGAGTAGGTGCGGAATGGGGTATTAAACAACATAATGTAGGATTTTACTGACACTATGTCGCTTCTTAACGTAATACCTCTCTGGTTGTACTACTTGCCGATGAAAATGGCTTGAGGATATCTATGAACAAAGCGACAGCAAATCAATAAAACATTTTCATTTTGTAGGAGTTTCAATAATTGTGGCAACTTCCGCCTTCCAAAATTCAAATGGAGTATGTCGCGTCGTACTCACTAATTCCTTAGAAAGATAATACAGATAATTTAAATGAGTTTTTTATAATGAACGTGTTTACACACAGCTTTGTTCGGGTGGATAATACCCCATTGGTCCTCGTCTGAGCTGCATCAAGTATAGAGTATTTAAAGCGTACATTGCCCATTATTCTCAGAAAATACTAACCAATGACCATGAAATCGAAACTCACGAAATGACCCCATTAGGTACACACATTGTAGCCGCTTGTCGAGCATATAACATTAAATACGCATGTTATTCCTCGGTGCGCCGGCTAAGCATATGCACATATGCGTAAGACAATATCTTCAAATATTTATTTGCGGCTTGCCTGACACGCCTACAATCTGGTGGCTGGTTAAAACGACAAACACGCTGTATTTGTACCTTGTCGAAAGACACCATCCCCGACTATAAACTCTGTCTTTGTATATACATCCGTGTGAAAACAAACAGTGCATTTTATGACGAAAAAGCTGCTGCTGCTAACAGATGAGTTCATGAACTTCAAAGTTCCGTTTGCTTCACAAAGACAAAAATGATGACTTTAAGGCGAAATAAACAAGTAAAACTTTGTGGTGCCTTTTGGTAATGGTGCAGTTGATACGTATATAGAAATGCACGGTTACGTCTTTGTTGAAGATATTTCAGGTACTGTTCCCGCGTTTTAGTTCAGTGAAAGTGCGAGGGAGCTGTCTCGCTATATACGTATTATATATATATACAGGGTGGACCATCCATGCGTGGACGGAATATTGCTCATAAACAAATACATTTTGGGAAAATCTATTTATGGCATGGTATAGATCAGGGCTGTCCAACTTAATGTGGCCCAAGGGCCACTTAAAAAAAATGGAGTTTGGAGGGCCGCATAATAAAATCTTTCTATACAACATTATTACTGAGTTTTAATAGGTATATACTTTACTATATGATATACATATATGTATACATGACCCGTGAAGCGGGCCGCAAGAAAGGAGATCGCGGGCCGCATGCCTGTGACGTAGGATGCAGGGTCAGTCTTGGCCCCCTCAGTTATTCAGAACTTAATATCTCGGCTATTTTAAGGCTCTGGTGAATGTGTTACCTGCTTATAGTTTACTAACTTATACGCTCTGCAAAAGAAAGTTTCAACTTTAAGGCCACTCTGTATAGATCTTTCGA